TGTGCTTCTCTCGAATGTGAGAGTCGCCCGAGAGAGCTCCGGCTCCGAGAGTTCCTACGAAATGGCCGGAGTAAACTTTTTTACTTTATCATCCGGCCATTCTACGAGCTACTTCAGCGTGCTTGCACGCGTTGCGGTACGTAGGTAGGGTGAATACATAAGGTGTAGCACGCGAGCACAGGAGTGTGTACGTACGCGCGATCGAAGTAACCCAGACAGGGTCTCGTTTCCAGGCCGACGTCGCGCGACTCTCTTCGGGGTAGACTGGTTGCATGTAAGCGGCATACTTCTTTCGCCTCTTTCGTGCTTGCGCGGCGGCTAATTAAGTACATCATACCGATACCAGGGTGCCCGTTTTTTGAGAGCGAGTCTCTTCCCGTTAATAGCCTCATCGTGAGTCGCAAAGAGCGGGCGATACGTCCCGGGAATGCCCCGATGGTTGTCGAGAAAACGCCGCAAAAGAGCATGTCGCAGATCGGTCGATTTCGGTTTTCCAAATTGCCCGTTGCATTGCGAGCTCGGTGATGCGGAAAGCGCTGGATAAGGGCGGCGATAACCAGCGCGGGGGTGCTCTGCCTCCCCTAGGAACGCGTTTATTCCATATGTACAAAGAGGAGAGAGAGAGAGAGAAGCATGAAACGGCGAATACAAAAACGGCAAACCGGCAGAACGAAATGGCACCGGCGCAATGGCACGCGGCGCAAGCGGCTGTCACTCGTCATTACGCGTCGTACTCGATTTTTTGGCCGCGTTTTTCTCGCGCAGTTCTTTGGTCGCGGCTACATACCGCGGCCCTTTGAAAAGTTCCGACGTCTACTCTGTCAATTACTGATAAAAACGGCGACAGGTCGCGCGGTACCACCGACAGGTCAGAACTGAAACCCGGGTGAAGGCTTGCGAGAATGTAAATTATCACGTCTGGTCGGAAGATAAATAACACGCGGCCTCACCCAGTCCAAAAAACGCAGCGGTTATTTTGTCTAAAACGATGAAAAAAAAAAAGAGCAAATGATCTCACAAGGGGACAACCTGCACGTTATCCGTCTAACTGCAGAAATCCGTTGAACTCTTTCTATACATCCCGTTTGTGTAAAGTGATACGATTTTTTTTGCTTCCGCGCGCGCGCGCGCGCTCGTGCTATGAATTCCCACCCGCGTTTTATTGAATGCCGTGACGTTTGAGAAATTTCTTCCTTTACACCGAAATACTGTCCAAAGTCGCCCTCGATATCTCCCGTTGGTCCCCGACGCACGATTCCTCCGGTTATCTCAATCGTAATGGCGGTGTATTATGACGGCGGGTCTAACCAGATTCGTCGGGAGATATGATTACGATAGAAACGAGTTTTTCTTCGCTTGACATGCCGATGAAATATGATCACGGCAACCGACGTTCGTAGGGAAGTCGGGACAGGGCGGTGCGGGCGGATGTAGGTGTACCTATACTAAGCGCCATCGTTCAGCGTGCATAATGTATCATAAAATGCGGCGGGGTTATTTTTCGGGAAACAACGACGGTAGCTCGACCGTTCCTATCGCGTTCGGTTAGGAGAAACAAGAATATTTAGCCGTAGATTTTCTCCATGCACATGTGGTAAACAAAATAGATGATTGCGCTCGCGACATAAATTTTTCTTTAATATATCGAGTTAATCGTGTGACAGCACGATTTAATCCGTTTTACGGAAATATGTGATTGATTGTTTCAAATGTTTCTCTTATATAGATTTCCGACATTTCTCTTGTTAGTTACGATATCTCTGATAATGTTTGGAGTTGATGTTTCGTCAATGTCAAGTCAGAAATACCGAGATTATCTTTTGAGTGAAAAGCGATCCGAAAATCGAGAGATAAAGCTTTAAAATACGCTTCTCGCGATGAGGAAACTTAAACCCGAAATTTGGCATCGATGAATTTTCTCGAAATACTATCGCTGTAAGTGACTTTATTTAAAAATTCGTGGGACTATTTTCCGGACGTTCCCGAGGCAGCCACCGGCTCGATGTTCTCTTTATGGCGTCGAAAAATCTATTTACCGTTTGCCTCGCTCGCTTTTGGTTGTCGTGCTGAGGTCGAGCCGTGGAGAATCCATTTTGCGGCGTGACATAGAAAAGCGGGACGTTGACGTACCGCGCGACCGAGAAAACGATAGCGGAAGAACGAGAGAACAAAGAAGAATGGAGAAAGCCAGAAATGAAGGAAAGAGTAAGCTACGCTATGCGTCTGTACCTGTAGGCGTCTGCATAATACATCTGTATGTGTGTGTGTGTATATGCATTATAAAAGGTATTGGCGCATACACTATGTGAAGCGCGCTACGCCGGAAGTGACATGTGATTTGGAAATATTCGCCAGCTACGTCATCGTGAATTACCGAGTAAATCCCGTTATTAATCGGATCACCACTAACGACATTTTTCGCAATACTCAACGCGTGTAGCGAAGTCGGCGCGATGCCTGCGTAATATGAACTTGTATATTAAGATTCTCTCTGGCCCGAAATATGAAAAAAACGCGAGCGATCTTTCACGGGAGCGAGAGATGGAGAAAAAGGAAATAAATAAAAAAAAGGACGCAATCTCGATAGAGAGCCGCGTTCGTGTCGTCTTAACCCGCGAGAAAGACGCTCCTTTCTCACCCCACGAAGACGTCACCACACGGACAGGCGAGCCTCCGAGGAAATCTTCGCAGTCGACCCGGACTGTTTCCTTTTCCTCGAGTTAGACGGGACGGACGGGACGTATCTGCATTAACTATGGATTTCACCCATCCCATTGCTATCACACGCGCCGCTCTCTCCGCTTCAATCCTCTCTCTCTCTCACACACCTTTTCCTCCTTCCGCGAGACTTCTTCGACCCTTTTTTTGTCGCTTTCTTTCCGCCGTCGCCGACGCGAAAAGCGAAGTGCCAATTTTCTGTACTCAATCCGACCGATGGGAGACGGGCGACCGGCGTTTCACGAATTAAAAAAAAGGGGGGAGGTAGAAGACAAAAAAGCGTTCACGGATTTCCCCTGCGTGTTACCTGAATGCGGTCGGCGGCGCACGACAGCACGGTTGTCGAGAATTGCGGAAAACAGAACTATTGAATTCAAATCGGCGTCTCCGTTGGGGAAAATGATTCGTTCCGCGCTGATCCGCTGATTCCAGCTAACTCTCGTCACTCGTTACTAATGGAACGCTAGTTCCGCCACAGGCACCAGCGCGCTGTTTTTCTGAAAGAGAACTGATATTTCGAATCGACTCCCCGTGATCGTTAACTCGATCACGATCGGACGTTTTTGCACGGAGGAACTTTTAAAAGCGTAGTTTCGCCCACTGACCTTTCAATTACCTACTTACCGTTGCCGCCACTGACCCGGCAACAACGGACGCGTTTTACAGCATCGCTCTGATATGACATTATCGTTTCTCATCGCCTGAAACTCACAAAGCATTCAAATCCGGCGAGAGCTTTCCGACAGCCGAATTAGGATTACGTCGCGACGTAATTAATTGACTGAAATGCCGGGGATGTATCATCGTCATTACAGAGTCAGCGTAAAGCTCGCCGGATTACCAACTGCGGCGACAGATTACCGCATAATGATCGCGCAGCTAGCATTGCTCCCGATCACCCGACCCTAAATAGATGTTTATTAACGTTGTTGCGACGACAAGAAATGATCATGGTGTTCGTGTATCTACGAGTTTTTATAAATCCGCGAAGCGGGCTCGCGAGGCGTCGCCCCGTGCGTCGGTCGAGTTTAACGTAAGTAGTCTTAGAGTCCGTATAGAGTCTGTATAGAGTCCGTATACACTTCGATGGCGTCTCCTAGATCGAGCCTGGGTACCGACGACTTGGTCACTTCCGCAAAAGTCGCGGCGAATCGCACGCGAACACGCGACCGAATCTGTGTTTTCGACGAGAGATCACGAACGCCCGATAATACGGCGAAGTGCCCGGACTTTCGACGAGCCATTCGCGTATTTTAATCGCGAGCGAGGTGTCGGCCTAGTCGGGGCGACGCTGACACGTGTTCGCGGTACGACACGCACGCAATTCAACGACGCGATGCGTGCGCTCGTCATTTAGCCGCCGAGAGCCGCTCCCTGCTCGAGACACGTGTTATTACCCGTCTCGAAGAGACGAGCCAGCCGAGCGCTTTTAAAGCTCGACTTTAGGGAGCGGCAGTCACGCCGACGGCGTTTTCATTCATCGTTCTCTTCATATATTCGACACCCGCGACGCGTTTCAGTAGTCCGTTCTCTTTTTCCCCGCTTCCGCGAACGTCCTTAGAGCACGGGTATTACGAAGAGAACGTTAACGCACGCTTTCATTTAGTTCTTCTCCTTCTCTCGCACACGAATCGTACGATGCGAGAGTCTCTTTGCACTTGCGCGCGCTTGCAACGAAATTACTACGACCACGGCTAATGTCGCGAGGCGATTGCACGTACGAGAGATCGAGTCGTTCTGCAAAAATATCACAACGTGTCGCAAGAGTAGCCGCAAAAAAAAAAATTAATTTTTATAAGTATCGAGATGCACGATAAAATTTTTTGTCCGCGTCATCGATCGAAAGCGATACGGCCGACAGCGCGACGTCGTAGCTAATAAGTAAACCGTAATAAATTACGAAGATCCAGGACGTTCGTTCGTGCAAAGGGATTATCTCGTCCCGTTTAAATAACGCGGTGTACGCTCGAGCGGACGAGCGTATCGGTGCTTTCGATCTAGTTTCGCGACGCATGCGACTCGACTCTCTTTTATACGCGCGATCGAACGCGAGATACGCGCGTGGAAAAGTGGCGCGTCGCTCGGCTCTCGTAGATTTCGAGAGTCCTAGGAGGAGTGCACAGTGCACAGTGCACACACACACACATTCCGCGCGGTTTTCCGCGGTCATTGTCCTCGCGCACGAAGTGTCCATCGCGGAGAGGAACTGTCCGTGCCCGCGAGCGGACGTGAGAGTTTACTTTAAACACTAGCATTCGTCGTTGATCTTGGATTTTACTCACCGGTATTCTGCGCGATAATCGGGTCAATCGCCAGCAACACGACGAGGAAGATAGGAGTCATATTGACCACCTTCTTTCCCGCCTTCCCTCGACCACCCGTGATCACTGCACACTTAACACCACCGTCGCAGCGTGCCACCTATGAAAAGATAAACCACCTTCGTCAAAAACATACCACCTTCAGCACTGTGGGGGGAAGAGGGCGAACAGAAGTAGGACGACGAGATACGTCTTCCTGACGAAAAACGTTGTTGCAGGTGTGACGCTGTGCAGGGTAGACCTCGACGATTATACTCTTCTCCCTCGTCGCACACACAGGCGCCGCGGGGAGAAGATTCTTTCCCGGGGAAGGAAAAAATCGGACACGTTGAATTCTCGAGCAGTACGACGCGAATAATTGGCGGAGCGCTAAAGATTAGCGCACGTTCGCGAAATACTTCTTCGTAGGAAAGAAAGGAAGAGTAACGGGAGTTTGAGCTGCGCGTAAAAAAATACTTGTTTCTGACGCGTTTATGGTATAACTGTACAAAACGACGGAAGGACGCGAAAGTGCCTATTCAGCAGCCGTCGAGAAAAATTATTGACACACGCCATTTAACATTTTCTTTCTCTCCCACTTTCTCCGTGTCTCTCTCTCGCTCTCTCTCTCTCTCTCTCTCTCTCTCTCTCTCTCTCTCTCACAGTAAAATATTCCGCGAATATATCGAAAAGCGGTCGGTGTGGGCGGTCGTTGACGTTGACGTTAAGGAAGAAAGAAGCGCGTGTTTTCCTCGGAGCCAGTCGCTGACATCGCAATAATGGCCGCGATCGTTGTGCCACTTTGTCGCGGCATACGCTTCCTCTCGCGTACGAGAACTATTTACATTCTTTCGCCGTCGTCGCGTCCGCTCGTGTACACTCTTGCCGATTTAATAGAAGGATCAATTTTGGAAGGGCGTCACTTCCAGGTTGGCCTCCGAAAGACGGATGTCGCGCGACGTATATTTCCCAAGAGGTAGAAAATATCTTCCTTTATTTTCTCTCCGACCTTCTTCCGTTTTCGCCGAGTCACCTCCGGTCGTCCGTCCTCGCGTAGTTTTCTCCACTCTTGACGCCGACAACGACAGCTACTAATAAGCTACACACGGCGTTCAGTAGTTCAGAGATCTGCACTTCGATGATGCGAACGATTATCTGCCACCTTATCCGATTCTTCTCTGCCGTTCTTCCACTGTTGACTTTCAGAAATTCCACATTCTTGACTGCGGGCCCTATCTCGTGGCGATTATCTCGACTCTTTCTTCCTGTGATTCCACGACCATCCCATATTTTTCGCGCGTCCCACGCTCCAAGCCGAGAGCCCTCCTCACGACAAAGCTTCCGCCGAGCTTTGCCGCGCGAGACGTTGACCCTGGACCCGGCGCTGGCCACGATTCCGGCTCGCGTTACATCCTCCAGGTAACTGAGTGTAATTGTTCTTCTCTGCTTTCCCGCGGCTTCCACCGAGCGAATAGACTTTTCATTTTCCACTCTGTGCTCCTGGTCTTCGCGTTATACTCCTCTGCTCTTTCGATTTCTCGTTAAAGAAAACATATAACGTAATTCTGTTGATGCTCAAAGTCCGAAAATGGAATAGCTGGTTCGGATGAGACTACTATTACGCTGCGACGCGGTCCTTTTCCGTGCAACAATGGTGAGGCGTTGGCAAAACGCGCTCTTTGACTTTCGCCGGGAAAATGCAAATAATCCGTCTTGTTTAGCGATCGAACGGAACTCAGTGGAATCTTGCAAGAAAGAAACGAAGACGAAGGGTTAAGATTAATAGCAGCACGCGTGATGAAATTTATACAGCAGTTTTAAAGCTTTCGGGTTCGTTGCACTCATGACTGCGGGCTCCTTCGAATCTTGTTTCGTACTACTTCCCTCGCCGCACGCGACTTTCTCACATTATCACCATCCGATCGTTGTGGGTATATTTTCCACGGTGTTTTCCGCTGCATTTGTATCTCTTTTGGCGAGTTTTTGTTGCACTTCTCGTCTCTGGTCTTCAGCACCGCTGTGCTTAAACGAGAACTTGCTGTTCACAAGAGCTTAATTCAATTTCTCGAATTTGCGAGTGTTCACATTCCTGACCGTCCTTCCCATTCCTGTTGTTTAAATTTCCGGATGCACCATGTGAATTTTTCCCAACAGCAGACCTCTCGACGGTTATCTGTACGCATCTGCGTATCTGTCTCTCTGCACGGCGTGAAACTCTAAATAATGCCGTGTGTTGTGCGCGTTTCTTGTGCGAAAAGGCGAATCAGGTCTCTTCAGGAAAGTTCGTTTTCGTAGAAGATTCACGTTTTTGGATATCAAGGGAAGAACTTCGAACAAACGCGAACCTCGAATTCCTGTCGCGTACTCGCGAGTCAATTATAAATTACTCCGGCGAGCGTATGAGACCCCGCGTTAAGGGTAGTTTTCTGAACGCGCGCTGCGGCCTGACTGACTCACCCCCATGCCCCCCGACGACACCCCCTACCCTGCTCGTCCACCACCGACATTCCTGACGCAGGCGCGCCGCCCCTCCTGACCTCGAGATTGCCATACGTACATGTACGAATTCGCGCCAGACCAGATTTTACGATGATCGGGAGATATGCTCCTGGTTTTCCTTTCTCTTGTTGTTTTTTTCTTCTCACTGGACTGAAGTTGTGAGTCACGAGCGAGTTTATGCATTCCAAGATGTCGGAACGTAAGCTACGGGAAAATCTGTCGGTTTTCGATATGTTTCAATATTCTCCGGCGCTTCTATCAAAAGTGTTTCAATCCAATCTACTAATATTCTTAAAGTGATGATAAAAAAAAATAATGTTCTTTTACTGAAGTGAGTGCTGAAGTCGTAAGCTCATAGGGTGTTTCTCAAAATTGATCGTAAATCATCACGGATCGTTAATGGCACTGTTACGTGAGAGAGATACGTGTGAGAGAGACGCGGGAGTGATTCGGAGAACCGGAGAACGGGGGCAAGGTAGCCGCGGGTTAGGTAGGGGGTTGGTTTCGGCGTTGGTTTAAAAGCGACGCATGCGTCTCCCGCGTAAGGGGATGTTCGGGGTGAGCTGCCGTTCTCCGGCCGACGTATCGCAGTTTCTGGCTTGATGTTTGTCCGCGTGGTACTCCCAGGGACGGCTGTGCCCGTGGGAACCCACGAGGGTGCAGCTGAACGTATTTGAAGGAACATCTCTCGCGCAAAGAAAGATAAGACAAAGCGGATAGCTGACAACAGAAGGGATAGGTCGAGGAGAGAAAGAGAGAAAGAGAGAAAACGGGCGAGAGAGATGAAAAAGAGGAATAGAGGGAAAGAGAACGCGTCAAAGGAGGAATTATCGATACAGGACGGTGACCACGATCTGCCACGCTTGCGCCTTCTTGCTTCGAGAAATAGTCCGGGCCTTTCCTTCCTTTCTTTCCCGCCGACACTTGGACTCTTCGTCGTCCAGTCGCGGAACTCAAGAGACCCCTGGGAGTCTACGTGGGAGTCGGACTCGATGGGACCGATCGTTTTTTCAACAGGTAAGTGCCGTGACGCGTCTACATGTACATGTACCGTGAGTGTATCTGTTCACGTGTGTCTTCAAAGGCAACGAAATCGAATTCCCGCTCGGACTAAAATATCATCTGAAGATTGTTGCTTAATTTTATAGACGTAAAAGTGAACGCGAGCACGAAAGCTAAATATATTTACGATAAAAGAACCGTCATCCTCTCATTGATATCGCGTTGAAAAATCAAACCTTTAGAAAATATCTAATAATTTCTGCTAAAAGATTATTCTAAAAGAATAACTTAGAATTATATATCTGAAATCATTTAATAAATAGAATATAAGCGGTTTTTCGAAAATAAAATTAACGGCCGCTGAAAACCACTATGACAAACAATAAATATTATTTTAATCGTCATTATTGAGTCGAAATTTGCAGCTATTAATTTTATTATGAGAAACTCATTGTATCGTTCTATTTACCCGAAGATCTCGATGGAAGTAAACTTGGAAAATTGGTCGAAATTTCCGTATCGAGCGGTGAGATAGGATGGCGTACCAGCGATTAATTATTCGTGGTAATTGGTCAATGTTTACGACATCGCCACGGAAGTAATTTACCTCCCCGTCATGCCTTTATTTTGCGTTTCTGCTTTTACCGTCAGCCATACCTTTAATACCACCCTCTCTTTCATCGTTCCCGTTTCCCCTTCGATCACTATCCCTATATCACTCTGACTCACTTCCGCAATGGATGCGCATTTGCAAATGCGACACGCAACTCTTCTGCATATACCGGTTCCGAATTCTTTAAACATGATCTTTCAGCGTGTACGCGTCTGGATGAAGACAATAATTTCGTTAAAGTCTCGCGCTAACGTGAGGAGTACGTCTCGATATTCAGGAATAGTTAAAAGCAAAATATCATAAATTTTATAACAAGCATGTAACATATAAAGAGTAGTAAATATTAGTAGATAAAAACAAGATTAGTCAAACGGATGTCATAAATATTACATTGAAATCGTCATTCGCGTTTTAAATATGTAAAGCCTACTCTAAAAGCATATCTAATAAAATTAAATAAAATTTCGAATTGTCTATCATTAATTTTCAGCGCCTAAAGTAATTTGTAACGTTTGACAGCTTATAATAGAAATGTTAAACTAGTCGAATCGGGCGACAATACAATATACGACAACATGTGCAATAATCATTGTTGTGGTTTAGCCGATTCGACCATTAGTGCTGGTGTCATTAAAGCCACTGCAAACGCCAAACAATTACATATTAACCGCGTAATTCGAATTTGAGGCCTCGGAATATCCGATAACGCCGCGTAGAAAATATTTATTACGCGCCGCAATGGCGGCCATCCACGTTTTCTTAGCTTATATAGGAACTTCACTCATAAATCGAATGCTGGTTAAAATTGCAAAATAAAGTCGGACGACAGTAAAGTGAGTGTCGAGAGCTTAATGCAGAAATATGCGCGAAAAGCGCGACATCGCTCGCGCGCCCGACCAATGCGCGAAGCGAGGAAAAGAAAGAGGCAGGTGGAAGAAATAAAAAAAAACTCGTCTCGCGCCTTAGCCGGAGAACCGAAGGAAATGCGCTCGCCGTTTTCTCAGTGA